GAAAAATAGCTTTTCTGAAAGCGGCGTGGTACAGTAAACAACACCCTGGGCTTTGGTTTCTGCTACCTTTGAATCTTGGTTCTGCCATTTAACTACAAGTGCAATCCTGAGCAAGTCACAATCAGGATTACAGGAGCACAGGGCTGGTAAGGCTTGGTGATGATTCAATACTGTAAGCAAGCCCTTTACACACTGCCACGATCTAGTCAACCCTTCATAAATGATAGCTGACGTTTTCAGCAAGAAAGAAGACCCATACAATAAGGTGAACCAAATCCTAAATGGTGATGTAAGCTCAGGAGTTCAAGTTCCTAAGGACCTTGGGAAGGTTTTAACTAAACCAACAAATGACATACTCAATACTGACTTCAGGGAGATATATTTGTGGGTAAAGTACATTTCAAAAAAAGCAGGGGGGAAAAATAATGAGACAAAGATTGAGAAACAGGTCAGCAGATTACAGAAGTTCTGGTCTCCTGAGAGGGAGGAGTCAAAGGCTGAGTTCACTGATGCCATGAGGGAGGGAGCAAGGGAAGGAAAGAAGGAAAGAAAAGAGGGCTCCACCCTGGGGAAGGTGGAGCAGGCGGAGCCATGGGAGGGCAAACCTGTGCTAAAAGGAGGCGCATCACTGTTCCTGGAATGTCAGAAAACTCAGAATAAACTGTGTAAATCAGCCAGACTGTACGGGAGGGAAACCAGGAGAAAGTGGCATAGAACTATCTTCATATTTCAAAACTGAGAGGTGGTCAGGAACATAGGAGAAGCTCCACTGAGCTGGACTGAGGTCTAGGCGGCACTGCAGCGCTCCTGTTGCCCTGGTAACCAGACACCTTGTCCCACCAGCATTATCTCATCAGGAGAAAAACCACATGCACACGCAGTAAACCATAATGACAGGCAGTCCCACCCAGCCCAGGCAGCCATGGTGAAGGTCTCCTGAGAAGGAGAAGGTCGGGATAGGGGACTTTTGCCACATACAAAGGAGCAAGCAAAGAATGAGTTTGGTAGAAGGTCAAGTAATTGTGCCTGTTGCTTCTCTTTCTGACTCTGGCTGAGTCACTGTAGGGGAAAATAACAAATCAAGGGAAAAATCTATGGCCTGGAAGCAAGCATTAAGAACCCAGAACCTTATACCCAGGCACAGTGGTGCACACCTGTTATAATCCCAATGGCTCCAGAGGCTGAGGCAGGAGAATCCAGAGTTCAAAGCCAGCCTCAACAACTTAAGGAAGCCCTAAGCAACTAGGCAAGAACCTGTCTCTAAATAAAATATATATTTTAAAAAAGGGTTAGGGATGTGATTCAGTGATTAAGCACCCCTGGGTTCAATCCCTGATACCCACCACCAAAAAAAAAAAAAAATAGAGAAGCCAGACCCAGAGGTGTGGCAGCATTCTCCAACAGCCATGTGACATGACCATCGATTGCTAGGGGATGGCATCATACTGGTCACTTTGTTCTTCTCGTCCCTTACTGAGGCTCTAGAGGGTTTGCCTGCCCCAAGGGAGTGATGGAAACACAACAACACGGGCAGAAGGGATGATGTTCCTTTTCAGCATGTTCAGGGTGATCAAAACTTATAGATGTTGACTAGGGAAATTGGTCTTAATAAAAGTGGTTTGAAAACCATTGCTGAGGCCCCTACTTCTACTTTGAAGTAATAGAGAAGAGGATCTTCATATATTGCCATCTAATAGGAATGTTAAAAATCTAGAATATTCAGGGGACGGCTGAGTCTTAGTTAATGTTTTTCTCATTAAGGTGAGTTAGAAAAGAAGAAATACCCAAGAAATACTATCCTCTATTTTGGCATCATAATTAGAATAGAGCATGACTGATTCACCTTCTCTGGGTTTACTTCTTATCCTTCATACAATAAAATTTGCTAAATCCAGAGAGACTTGTAACCCTCACTGCAATCAAGATATGGAACATAGGTCCACTGTCCACAACATCCCCTCCTGTCATGCCTTTGTCAACAAACCACTCCCAGCCCTGGCAACCACTGACCCATTCTAAATCTTTTTTTTTTTTT